CAAAAAAAATTGACAGGGACTTGAATTGTGTGATGGATCCAAGGGGCACATGCAATTACACAAGTTTTCAAAGAGGCACTTGCTGAATACAAAAGCCAAGTGTCCAAAAGTTCACTTCCAAACATAACACTTTCATTGTATGTGCTTCCAAGAGGTACTTGCATTGCACTCAAGTTTTCCAAGGGTTTAAAAACTTTGTGATGGATCGAAGAGGCAGTTGCAATTACCCAAGTTTTCCCAAGAGGCACTTGCATTTTACAAGTCTGCCAAGAGGCACTTGCTGAATTAATCCACTTTCACGGTATCACTTTTAAGTTTTAACCACTTGGCCTCTCTCCCACAGAATTCAGCACCCTACAGGATTTAAATCATTTAATTGATTTGAATTTTCAAGCTTCAAGTTTTCCAAGACTTCAACAACTGTACACATGCTCACCACTTTTAACCTTTCAGAGAGTTCCAACAACTGCACATGTTGCGGTCCATGTAGCGCCGTACGTATGGCATACGTTGCCAGGGGGGCATTTCCTCGAGGGGTCGCGTTATGGCGTGCACAGAACGTAAGACCGCTGTTTTCTATTTTTGTCATACCAATTTTTCAGCTTCCCACTTTCATTGGTTTCATGAACTTTCATCAGTTGCTGCCATTTGCTGGCACTTTCTGCACCTTTTTTTCCCCATCTTCTTCTCCTCTGTTTCTCTTAATGCCTTACTATCTTATATCTAAAATGGAATAGGCCTTGAGGTATCATCATCTGACCGACCAGCCCCAGGTAATTCAGGGTTATCTCATTCATCTGATACCCCATCAGGATTTGAACCCACGTCTGTTTATCACAGTCAAGTGCTACCGCTCCTTAAACGGCACTGCAGAGGCTCTTTTGGAAGCATCAAAATGTGCAGAACCATACGGCTGTTGCAGGCAGGAAATGTCTCCAGTGTACGATTGACCAAGTGCAGAACCCAAGGTGTTAAACACAGGGAAAAGCTCAAGAATGAGGCTGTCCTTGACGACAGAAAGGACACACATTGTAAGGATGGGGTGGATGAGCGCATGGAAGACCTAACTGAGCATTCTCAAAACAACAACTGCCACGACGGCTGGCATTA